TCATATTTCTCGTACACTGATTAAAATAGCCATCCAATCAGAATTCGACGATCATAAGTTGATGGCATGAAAGTGAGATTCTCAACGGTCGTGACCAGAGGTTTCTCGCGGCTCGCTGCTTCGCAGCTCGTTGTTGCCGCTTTTTACAGAGGAAAAAAAAAACGAGAAAGCTCTGGGACCAGGGTACCACATCCTATATTTTACATCAAAGTTTGATCCTAATAAATTGTTCTGATCTAATTATTCATAAAATATAGTTTTTCTGTCACAAAGTCTTAAAGGATTACACTCTTTTTACTTTATGCTTTTGTTTCACCCTAATGAGTTCTACGAAGTTGACTCATCGAAAAACAAACAATTAAATGACTTGCCCAAGGAAAAAGAGCAAACACGTTTTTCAAAAAAAAAAATTTTAATTTATTCATGAAATGCTCAATGCATGTGAATACAAAAAAAGTTTAGTTACAGCTCTTTTCATTATTTAACCATGTTTTGATTGTCAGTATATATTTGTTCAATAGAATCACCCGTCACTTGAAACAATAGAGGACTGTGTTCTACAAAATTTGCGAGTCATAAAAACCTACTAGATATCAAGACCACGTTTGTAAACAATAGAAGACTCAACAAACACAGTGTTTTGATTGATTTTCATAGTTCAGTCACTACAGCTAAACTCCGAACTAAACATTTTGCCAGTCGGGTATCGACTTGGCTATCGCTCTCAATCGTTCTGATCGTCGCGGCGGTTTTAAGATTTTACCAAGATATTTATCTGAATCTTGATAGCTAATCCACTTCACAGATTTTTCTTTACTTGACGGAGGAGTTGGTAGGAAATCAGGTGGAGGTGGCAGGGATTGTGTTTTGGGAGTGCTAAACGAGGCAATTGAAGAGGGTTGATCAAGACTAGTTGTGGTTCTTAATGGAGTGGAAGGAACCTCCGCTGAAGCTGAAGCTCTCGCTCTACTGAGTTCCAGAGCAGGAGTTCTAATTTTTGAGGTTAGCCGCTCTAGGAATGAAGGCGTTTTAGTTTTGGGTGTRGTGTAGCCGCTATCAGTGAGACTTGTTGAAGTAACATTTTCTGGGGATGTTAGACTAGTGGGGAGACTGGGACTTGTCAATGGTGGTACCTGTGGTGATTGCACCATTTCTAGCATTGAGCTGTGGGGCGAACCACTTBGAATTTGCTGTTGTAGATTAAGATATCGATCGTATAGCTGCGAATATGTTTTGATTTTTAGTTCCGCAGGGGTATTGGAATCCCTGAGAATGCTAGTCATTTGCTCCTCTAAGTTCTGCATCGTTTTTAATATAGGCAATTGTAAATAGCTTTGACGTTCGAAATAGTTAGCAATAGATTGCGTGACATCTGACTGTCCACCACCAAGTTGCGATATTGCTGTTTTTGACAGCTTCGTCTGCAAAGCAGGCAAATCATTGGGAAGAACATTCGTCCGAAGCCTGCATTCTTCTGGTGTGTTTGGTTTGAGATCCACGAAAATATATCCATAAGGTCTTTGAACAGCGGCTTCGTACTTTTGCACAAACTGTTCTGTTTTTCCTGGGTACATTTGTTTTCCCAATGTCATCATTTGTAGTTTATCTCTTGGGTTTTTAAAAAGAACAAGGTAAGCCGCATTCAAACTCAGGGTGCGCATGATTTTTCCTTGAAAGTATAGATTCTGCATCAGGAAAATAACACTGAGGTTGCGATGATGAGATCCTTTGGTGAATAGATTCATGATTCTCTTGTCGTTGGACGTCTCTGTCATTTGATCGTCAATCACAATCACATTATTGATTTTGGAGTCGAAATAACCATCCTCGTCAATATCGTGGGGTATGCCTTTYACGAACTCGATCCCGGGAATGGTTGCTAACATGTGTTCGTAAGCAGGTTGCCATTGTGCGTAACTCCATACAATACGCTGTGGTGATGGATTTATGACTTTTGTTGCATGTTCAAGCAAATTCTGAACCCAAACCGTTTTTCCAGATCCAGAGCACTGTGAACGGATGGAGTAACTGAAACCTGTCACATTTCGTGTGGTCTTCAATTTTGAGGCAATGGGTACGGAGTACGGTACGGAGTGAATCGATGACTGGTTTTTCGCATTTGTTCTTGACCGATCCAATACTTTCGTTGCAAATTGTCCAACTTATGAGTTCGACTTAAATGAGTGTATAAATTCTTTTGCTGCTTTTCGCAAATAGGACAGGACCGTGTCATCGTGCGTCTTTCGAAGAATGAGGGCAATTCCTATAGGGAGCGCTATTTATACGAATTCAGGGATTCTAGTCTGCATAAGATTCTAGTGTAGATATAAGAATCTAGTAGTAGAATCTAGTAGTAGAATCTAGTGTAGAATCTAGTAGTAGAATCTAGTGTAGAATCTAGTAGTAGAATCTAGTAGTAGAATCTAGTAGTAGAATCTAGTGTAGAATCTAGTAGTAGAATATCGAGTAGTAGAATCTAGTGTAGAATCTAGTAGTAGAATCTAGTAGTAGAATCTAGTGTAGAATCTAGTAGTAGAATCTAGTAGTAGAATCTAGTAGTAGAATCTGCATAAGATTCTAGTGTAGATATAAGAATCTAGTGTAGAATCTAGCGTAGGATCTAGTAGTAGAATCTAGTAGTAGAATCTAGTAGTAGAATCTAGTAGTAGAATCTAGTAGTAGAATCTAGTAGTAGAATCTAGGGTAGAATCTAGTGTAGAATCTAGTAGGAAAATCTAGTAGTAGAATCTAGTGTAGAATCTAGTAGTAGAATCTAGTAGTAGAATCTAGTAGTAGAATCTAGTGTAGAATCTAGTGTAGAATCTAGT